TTCAGTGGGAAGGACAGACTAATCCCATGGCAATTTGGGCAGTTGTCTACTGAGAATTTTAAACAAGATCCCTGAATGCATCAAGACCTTCCTGAATAGGGTGGGTTGTGTGCATGAGTAAATGCGGGTGGGATAGCTATATGGAAGTAAAAGAACATCATAAATGAAGTAACAAATAGGTAACCACCTCCTCAGCAATCACAGTAATAAACTCAGGTGCACTCAGATTATTTAATTTGAAGACATTGTCTTCTCAGGATTTTTTTTTCCAAACTGCAACAAAAAAAAAAAGCTATTGAGATATGGTCAAATGGCACAGGATGAGTGTTTCTAAAAAGTAATGTGTGTGTGCAGACTACTTTTTACTACTGTGTAAAAGTTCAACTGAAGGGGGATTGAATACTGCTCTATCTTATCTCTATCTAATGACACCACAAACACTTTTCTCTCAGCCAAGCTCCAGTCCCTAAAGATAACCAGGCTAGCAGGAGAAGGGTGGGGCAGCAGGGAAAAGGAAAGTTCAAGTTCTTTTCATCCATAGACTGTCCTTTCCTGCATTTTAGAAGGTACTGGGACAAGCATTAATAAACAGATGTCGCTATCTCATTATATCTGTTTTGGCCATTAAGTATATAATCACAGTCTTCTGGTAAAACTGTTGCTCTTTGGTTAAATCATGATCCAAAGTTACTAAATCCCACTAAAATCAGATTAGGATTGAGCTGGGAGATACCCAAAACATAAATAAAGGATCTCTAAATAAGCAGCGTGGTATTTTAAGACAATCCATTTTTAAAAATGAGTCTACACACAGAGAGATGTTTAGTTTATTTTCTCTTTGTAGCCTACAGATGCTATGCTCTTCTCAGAGGAGGAAAAAGGAGAATAAAAAGTAGTAATACCTTGCAATTTAACGAAGTAACATTCCTACAACTCCAGCAAAATGCATTCAATCAGTATTAAGGTAAGATGAATGATTACTGTACTTTAAAATTCAAGACATATATTCAAGTTAGAATTTGCACTGTAAAGCACGAATTCACACATCAGTTCTTAAGAGAACTATAAGATTTTGGTTCTCAGAATGATTAAATGCATTTATGATGAAACATCCTGTAAAAAATACATAATTGCAGTACTTTAATGTAGCTTTGTCCAGCCACTGCTCCAAGTGTTCAATATTATCAATATTCTTTTGTTAAGAGAACTGCAGAACCAGATGTTTCATCCATTTTATATTAATGTGTTCTTACACATTGATTTCAGTGGGACTTTCAACCAAATAAGTATCCAGTTCTGAGCACACTTCCATTGGAGGAAGATTTGTTGAACAACGTGGAACATACTTCTGAGAAGATAGATGGTATTTACTTGGAAAGTTCCATTATAAAGAGAGAAGAATGCTTGGCAAGAGTGCTCCAGCATGAAACATACCTTTCCCAGTCCAATCCTCTGCTATGTTCTAGGAAGAAAACCCCAACGGTATTTAGTGGGACTTACTTCTGAGTAACCATACATAGGAGTGTAAGGTGGGGGGGTGGGTGGGTTCCGTTTTATAAAGAAAAGTTTTTCACAGGGATGAAAAAACCCCAGCTCTGAACGGTAAATTATGCCCTGGACATCAAGGGGACAGCATGATATTGTGCCTCGATAAGCGCGAGACGAAAAGCTTAGCATAAATAACTACACTGCTGCGATGATGGAAATCATCAGGCAACTCAGGTGCGACGGGCTTCACGTTTGGCAGCTGCCCCGGCGCCGTTCAACGCTTTTACCGGGGCCACGAACGAGAGAGAGGCGCCCCAGCTTCTATTATTCCAAACGCTGTGCAGGAAGGGCGAAGGAGGGGGCTCCGGCCCTGGGCGTCTCCGCGAAGGGGGCTCCGCGCGGGCGGCGCGGGAGGGGGCGCCGAGGGTGCCCCGGGCAGCAGCCGGGGCGGGAGAGGGGCGGGCGCTTCTCGGCGCTGGACGCCGCGGGGTGGCGCGGATGGCAGCGGGCGACGGCTTCGTGCGCGACGAATGCGGCAGTCCTCGTTGCCCACTTACCTGGGAGTAAGCCCCGTTGAACTCAGCGGGCCTTACTGCTGAGAAGACGCATCCCGGGTTGCGGGGTTCCCCTTCTCTGTCCGCGAGGGGCGGAGAGGGGACGGGGTGAGAGCGGCCGCGGGGCAAGGAAGGGACGGTCCTGATGGGAAGTGAAGCTCCAGGGCCACCTAGGATTCGCCGGCCTTTGCAAAGGAGGCAGAGGCGGGCTTGTGTACATCGGGGTTGCACTTTTAAGTCCTCGTCGTAGCGCTGCAGACTCTTTCCCGTCTGCTCCAGCGCTGGTCATGCCGGCTGCTGGGGAGGCGGCGTCAAGAGGCAGCCGAGGCAACCACATGTTTACTCAGAAGTAAGCGTCACTGCACTCAACGGCGCTAACTCCGGGGAAAGTGTGCTTAGGATTGCAGCTAAACCGCGGGGGAGCTGGGCGATCCGCATGCCCTCTGCTCCCTCCGCCGAAACCGCGCGCTGGCCCCATGCGGCCATGGCCGCAGCAGGAAAGGCAGTCTCACAAGGCCCCTTCCGGCCGCCAGCCTGCTCGCCGTCCTGCGAGCCCGATGAACGGGAAGGAAATGTCCTCAAGTGGGCTCGGAGTGCTGGGGGAAGGACGGGGCTTTCCGAGCAGACTGGAGGAGGCCGCTGAAGCTGCAAAGAGTTGAGTGTGTGCGAAAACTTCCCGTGGTGGCGCCAGCGCACGGGAGGGAGGTGGTGACCGCTGTTGCATGCGGCGCCTGGCGGCGGGGGCAACCACCAGCGACCGTTAAGCAAACGCTGGGCCTCGGTGTCGCTATGCTTTTTGAGGAAAAAACGAGACCAAGTCCCGTCAGCATTCTGGCCTCCGGGACTGTCCCCCCTCTTCAGCACGTCTATCCGTGGCTATCTCTTCGATGGAGAATGGATGGAGCCGATCACTAAGAGGGAAGCGTATCGGCCCCCCCGCCTGCTTATCGGCTCGACCTCCGCTCCCCAGAGGAGCCGCTTTAGTGAGGCACGGGGTTCCGCTTGCCCTCGCACCTGCTTGAAGGGACACAACGAAATTACTCCTCTGTGAGGTAACCCCGGCATCTGCTGCGCAAGCGCCGAATGCTCAATTCGGCCCCGCCTTTTCCATTTCTACACCTCAAGAGGAAGGGCCGCGGCAGCCGCGACACAATTGAAAGCGCGCCTCCGCCCGCGACCGCGCACTCGCACGAGACGCCCATGTCAGAAAGCACGGCGCGCATGCGCCTCAGTAGTAGCACGCCACGATTAAGGACTTCCCCTGCCAACAACACGTGATCGAGCCCCACCCGAATGTAAGATTCGTGAAGTAACAAGAGTTTGTTGAGGAGTTTCTTTCTCGTGCCTCCCGCCTCCAATTTCTCCTAAAAAATCGGGAGGGGAAGGGAAGCGCGAGATAGCCTAGGAGGAGGGGAGGGGAGGGGAGTGGGCGCGCGCACGCGCGCCAAGAGCTGCCGTCGCGAGCGAAAAGTAGACTTGGGCATGAGCCTTTGTATGTGTGCGCGCGCCCGTCACTCCAGAGCACGGAGCTATCACGGGTGCGCGTGTGTGTGTGTAACGTCGCTGCGTTCCTTTCGACTCACGCAAGACAAGAGCTCCCCCCTCCTAGCGGTTGTCAGCCGAGTCCCGAGTCTCACAGGCGAGCCGTAGGGGCGGGGCAGGCGGGCGGGCAGGCTGAGTCCGCCAAGTGGCGCCGCCGCCGCCGCTCGCTGATTAACGGCCGCCCCGCCCCTGCTCCTTCGCTGCTCCCTCCCTGCCGAGTCCCCTCCCCTTCCCGCCGCCGTTGCTTGCTGCCGCCGCCGCCGCCGCCGCCAGCACAGCCTGAACTGAAGCGAACTCCAGAGCGAACTGAGGAGGAAAAAGAAGGCGGAGGCATCATCACCGCCACCACCACCACGGCGGCGGCAAGGCTGAGACTCGCCAGCCACAAGCAAACGGCACCAGCGGGAGGGGAGGGAGGCAGGCGGAGCGGGAGGCGAGGCGGCGGCAATACCACCACCACCAGCAGCAGCAGCAGCAATAGCAGTAGCAGCAGGAACAGCAGAAGCACCACCGGTGGCCGGGAACAGCCTTACGAGCAGCGGCAGCGGCGGCGGGGACTCCTCGGGAAACAGTAGCCAAGCCCGCTTCCCATTTGCTTGCCTGCCTGCCTGCTTGCCTCCCCCGCCGCGGAGACAGACCAGGGGGCAGCAGAGCCGAGGAAAAGGAGCTGCGACCAGCGTCTGCGTGTGCGGCGGGCGAGAGAGGAAGAGGAGGGGGAAATACCGACGACTGCGCCGGCCACGGGCGCACGGCGTTGGGGAAAGGATTCCAGTGGCAGCGGCGACAGGAAGAGCGAGAAGCGGCAGCGGCGGATCTCTGTACAAGCTGGGAGGAAGACGAGGGCGCAGTCCTCCGTAGTGGTGGCAGAAGAGGGGCTGGGGGGGTGGCGGCCACCGAGTTCCCCCCTCTTATTTTTCTCCTTCGCCCGGGACCCGGCGGCGTCTGCTGGTGGCTTCTTCGTTGACGGCAGCCCCCCTTTTCCCGCTCCCTCGTTTTCCTCCTCCTCCCCAGTTTTCGGGGGGGAAGAGGCCTCTCCCCCCCTCAGCCCACATAACACACCCCGTCTCTTTCCCCGCCTGGCGGGCGCCCAGTGCGGTGGTTGGGCGGGTGCTGGTGCGGGCGCTCGCTCGCTCTCTCTCAGCGTTTGGAATATGGTTGGGGAAATGGAAACGAAGGAGAAGCCCAAGCCGAGCCCCGATTACCTGATGCAGTTGATGAACGACAAGAAGCTCATGAGCAGCCTCCCCAACTTCTGTGGGATATTCAACCACCTCGAGAGGCTGCTGGACGAAGGTAAAATAAACTTAAAAACAAACACCCCCCCCCCGCAACTCTTCTCCTTTATAAGTGCAAGGGGTGGGGGAAGACGGTGCTTTTCCTCTCCTCCCCCCGAAAAATCCTGGGCCTCTACGCTGTATGAATCCCCTTTGCCCTTCCCATTCCCGTCCCAAAAATGGGGGCGGACTTCTGTTTTCGCCCTTTCAATGGCGTCTTTTGGCCTTACCTCCTTCCCCCATAAACAAAGGGCAGAAGCGGGAAGTCTCCGCAGAAGTTTTGGTCTTTGAGGGCAAGGAGCGAATGAAGTCTCTCTTTGTGGTGTAGATACCTTATAATCGATCAACGGCATCCGTCACATTGTGAAAACGAAGGCAGGGGTGGGGAAGGAAAGGAGAAAGGGTTGTTTGGGGGGAGACCAGGAGAGTTCCGGGACTCCACCATAGAAAGTACGAAGGCGAAGTAGGCCTGGTGGTATGATTTATAGAAGTACTTGTAAGCGAGTTCGTTTTGCAGTCTAAAGAAATGAGTAATGGGTGTTTTTGTAGAGATTTGGCTGGCACTGGGAGGTGGTGGAAACGTCTTGTCGAGACCTGAGGGCTCAGCTCTCATCCCCTACTGGGCAGTTTGTCGGCCACCAAAAGACTGAACTGCTTCAAGTTTGAGTAAACAGACCAAACTTCTTTACTAGCTTTTATCCTGAAGAATCGACGCTGGACATTCTCCAAAAGCAAACGCGAGAGAGTGCCTGTGGCGTTGCTCAATATCCATTGTAGGTTCCAGGCCATGATCAACTCCCCAGTTTTTTTTCTCCACTTTAGATAGTACACAGTTGAGTGTTAAGAGGAAGGCCACATCTGTGGTGTAACCCGCTGTATGCTAAAGCATTTTCAGTCCTTAAATAAATTAATCGTTTTTTAGTTGTAAGTGACTTGAGTATTCTAGCCAAAGCTTCCTATCTCTTTTTAATTGCGGGTTATGTTGACCCTGCTTGAAGCCTATTCTGGATGCCAATTCCAAATTTTCAGTCAAACCCTATATTAAGAATTCATATCTTGAACTGCTAAGGTTTTCACAGAGATGTGGAAACTTGGTTAATGGCCACTGTCACTTTTTTATTTAAAAATAATGTTGACATAGAATTTCAGCCTTGGTTTTTGGGAATATTTTGATTTTTCCCCTTAATAAGAGTTCTAATTTTTGCACAGTTCTTCCTGGACTTAACAGGTCTGCTTGCATTTGTCTTGGAAAATGTTTAACGTTCGTTCACTTGGCAGTGAAGTGCCAGTTTACATTTTTGATGAATCCCTGGTTGGATTACACTTGTAATCAATGGAATGAACATTGAGAAGAAGCCATTTAGGAAGTTTCAGATTGTAAAGAATTTAAAAGAATATTATTTGGTATGAAATTAAGGAATCAATTGGAAAAAACCTTCTAAAATAACCAAATCAAGTGCAGTAATAACAATGGAGTTATTCATTATCCTGTAAGTTATCCTGTAAGTTCCTGAATCATCAGTTTGCTCTAAGAAGGGAGGTGCAGAGTTTGTCACAAGAACAAAAGAGTGGAAGGAACATCTCTCTTTTCAGAAGGGTATCTGAAGAATATGTGAGGTCATTGCAGCTTTTGAATGTCCTTGGTACTGTGGAAGTCTTTTAACTAGCAATTTCCTATTTTTTGTTTTTTAAGTCCAAAACAAGGATTGGAAGTTACCTTTTTCAACAGTCAAGTTATTTCTGTTTTCACACTTATTTCCCCACCCACCCCCCAGGTCCTTTTTTAGTAACCAAAGGAGAAACTTCAACTGCCCCTTTAAATTTTCCTGCTTTTCCTGTTTGTGTTGGCTCCTGGGTGGATGAACTGCAAATGCTGAAAACTTTCTGGAATGTTGAAAAAAAAAATGCTCCATGCAAATTCAGGGAATGAGCTAAATGTTTTAATATTTGAACACTAAGGGGCGCCAGTTCTTTCTTTTTGGAAAAAATGTAAGATTTTTAAGGTGTTTTATAAACCTTTATTCCCAAATCAGCAAACTTAACTAAACATTTAGAAGGTATGAGATGTCCAGCTTGGAACATAAGCATATTAATATGGGAGCTGCTGTTTGTGTTTTAGGTTGGTGATGTAAGTTTCTTCTCCAAAATAATTTTGGAAAAGTTTGAAATTTCCTTTAGAAGTGAAGGAACTGCTCTGAACTAAAAATTTAAACCACTGCAAAGAGTAGCTTGCTATACAGAAGAATACATATAAGAGACCTTTTAGAGTTCTGTATATGCCTATAAAATATTGAAAATAGTTTGACAATTTCATTTTTTTTGTAGCGGAAAGGAAAAATATGAAGTACCAAACTTGAATCAATCAGATCCGTGTTTTTCACTCTAATAATACTGGTTAAAGTAATGATAATTGTTACTGTTTTCCACTCTTTAAAAAGAAAGAAAAAGTATAACAAGTAATATTTTTACTAGGATTTAGTGCACTTTAATGAAATCTGTGTGTATTGATTCAAACGTGAGGTCTTTTAAAATTTTCTTTCTAAAAGTTGATTTTATGTGTACACATACATTTGAGGACTCCGTACAGAATATTTTATGTCAGCTCAAGTAGTCTACATTGTAATATGCAAGAGTGCAGAGACATAAAATTTCAAAAATACTTCAGTTTTTATAGAACTTTAACAGTTGTCAACTGTAGTTATAAATAACAATTAGTACCAAAGATACCTAAAATAACTGAATAAATACTAAGCTGCTTTTCTATTGGTTTACAAGATCCTTAAGAAATTGGATTACTTTCCCTAAGTGAAAATAAACTCTTGGTTCCAGGAATTGTTTGCTCAAAGTACTGTTACAAATTCTGGAAACAAACACAATTTGTATAACAAACCTTTCTTTTATGTAAATAGACACCTGTTGAATTCCTTCTGATTACCTCATGTCGTAAGGACTTTGAGGATTAAATATTAAATCCTATTGAATGATTCAAGTACTACCCATCAGGAGAAGGTAGGCAAACATAGAATCAAACTTTAGGTATGTGTGATTTTTACACTAGAAGCCAAAGTCCTGTTAGAATTTTTATTGAACTGTATTTTTTAATAACTAGAATGAGTACAGATTTTTTTCATAGACATTAGCTATTTGATTCCATTTTATATATTGAATATGCACAACAGAAATAGAAGACCAACTTTGAATAGTTTGATCTTCAATATAAAAAAACTTTTTGTTGTAATTGATTATAAACACTGGGTTAGATTCAGGCTGCAATCTCATGTCCACAAATTTGGGAAAGCACATTGCACTGTGGGATTTCTGAGTAGATACAGGATTATGCTGTAAGTTAGTTGACCTTGGTCCCTATTGAAATCAATAAGACCTAAGCCTCTGCTATTAGTGGGATTCAAGTTAAATTAATTTATGCTGCAGTTCTTGTGCATTTAGTTTGAAGTAAACTCTTTTGACCAAAACAAGATTTTAAGAAAACCTGCTGAGAAGAGTCTGTATTGAACCCATGAAATTCAGTTTAACAAAGCAAAACTGGAGAGAAAACCAAGACAAATCATAACACAGAAACTAGAGTACTGATGGTTTGCTTTTTATTTAGTGTTAATTATTCTCAGTGGGCTAAAATTAGTATATGTTGAGTTTCTGAAATACATCATTAAAGTTTGTTTTGTGGTTAAATTACCTTTCCCTCAGTTGTATTGATGGTCATGTACTCACTGAACATTGCTACAGATTCAGTTCCTAAGTGTTTAACTTGAACATCTCTATGAACTGTTTTGTTGGCAATCCCTGTTAGGAACCTTGAAGTTGTAGGTCGAAATGATGCAATTGGATGATATATTTAGTATTTTAAATGTATTGGTGCAGTAGGGTATTTTTAAATAATCCTTCCAACAAAATAATTAAAAAATATAATTGTACTTTGTTCCTGTTTTAGGGAGCACTAGAGTACATACAACCAGGGCCCTTCTGTTCTTCCTTGATTGGTTTCTTTCACTACAGCTTTTCTTTGGGGTTGGAATAGTTCTTCTGTAATAAGAGTTAAACATTCCTTGTTAGAATTAGGCATCTACATGGTTTTTTAAAAGAACATATCAATGATAAGAAAACTAGTCTGTTTTGCGGCTGTTGAGGTAGCCCCATATATGATGGATTACATTGTGCTTTCATAAGAATTCAATTATTTTCAGTAAAGATACTTTATATGGGAATATGCCTCTTGAATTTGCAATACTCTCTCAGATGGGCCATCTTGAGCTTTGATGGTGTGTAAAGTTTGCATACTTGTTTGGAAGTTTTGATTTCTTGTTCATGCACAATGTCAGGCATGCATTTAGAGCTCAATAAATAAGTAATCATACAAATCTCCTTAAGAGCTTATTAGTCCCCCACCCCTCACCCATTGCTATCTCTTTTAGCTGATCTCCACTCGCTAACAAGGTAATTAAATAAATAATTCTACTGTGAGGGTCTGAGACTTCTTTCTAATTCTTAATGTAGGTTGAGTTCTGCTCTTTTGGTGCTTAAAAGAACTAGAATCAAACTTTACAGTATAATACTTCAGAACAATGCAGAATGACTTTTCTCGATGATAATTGTCTGAAATACATGCTTCCCACAAGATATTAAAACTAAAACGTCATTTTGCAGGCAGATAAGTTTGCTGAACACCTCAGTTCCTAACGATAATGGTACAGTATCCCTTGCTAAATGGCTGTGCATTCATGGATTGTAAGATACTGGTCACTTAATTTCTGGTACATAACTATGAATGCATTCTGTTGTAAGGGAAGGAGATTGACAGGCATTCATGCTTTCAGAATATCTAGCAATTTTATAATGGTACATATTCTATTTTGTATTTGATTGCAAGCTATAGGTAATCAATTTTGCTGTTCATGAAATAATGGATGTTCAGTCATTTCAATTTGTAATTGAAACATTGTAACGCACTTCATAGCCTAATGAGAAAAATATCAGGGAGAACACAGTTTACAATTTTCAAACTTGTCTAGATTTGATTCTATTACTGAATCTTTGCTGCATATCTGATATGTTTATATTATGTCAACTTTAAAGAAGTGTATGGTATTTTGTAAGCATATGCTCAATCTGTTTTCTCCAGCTACCATTGTTCCCAGTACAACTGGGGTTGTTGAATGTAGAGAATAATTTGTCACATGTATTCATACATTCTAGAATATATATCTTAACCTTTAAACTATTTATTCTACTCTTGAACAAGGTTCTCAGTGCTGTTGTATTATAATAACATGTTTCAGGCAAGCATCCTAATGACATATTTATGTTCCAGTCAAATTGCCATGTATAATTTTTTTATTTCATTATTCATACATTACCAAATTTTTGTAGCATTATTAAATGAAACAAATGTTCTGTATTCATAAAAGTAAAACTAAATTTGTGATGCATTCCAGACATACATTTAAATTAAATGAAAATATTGGTGTTCAGTGTTTTTAAATAGACTGCAAGGTTTATATTTGGAAGCTAGATGTGCAGTGCAAACCTTAGCTTTGTATAACTTGTCTATTATTCTGTTAAACTAGGTGGCTCATAAATAATTGGACATCATGGGCAAGTTCCAGCTCTCATTCTGCTTGCTATAGAACAGCAAATGATGCTGTGCCAGTGGAAGCTAGGTTTTGAACCATGCACAAGAAGGAGAAATCAGCTAAAATTTTGGGTTGTTCACGCACTTGCATAAGTATAAAATACAAACATTTGCACATGAATTTGTATATTGTCTTAAGGAAATGAAGAATTGGCAAACTTCACATATAGTTAGTAGAAAGTACAATAGCATGACTTTCTTTTTAGTAAGAACATTTAAAATATGGAAAATAAATTATACCATTTGACTACTCACAACAATAGGCTATATCCAGTGGTGGCTTTGTGCTAGTAAAAGATGGGACACCCAATTTTTGCTTATCCTGTCTACCTATTATAGCCATCCATGACATATCCTTTATAGTTCCAGATGGTCCCTGAATCTGTAGGAATAGCTATTTGGGGGCCCATGGAAACTGGGAGCCTCAACTTATATGACCAGAAATTATTTTCAGTAGTAGAAAACCCACCATTAAACATGACTCCGTTTCATTAGAAAGACTATGGAAGCTCATACTAGGTATATGAAGTAAAATGCAGTCCATTTACACAGTGAGACATGATACACTAATAGGTCATTCTGGCAGCCTATGACAATTTGAGTAGGATTAAGCCTTCAGTACCCTGTCTTTCTTTCTAGTTTTCTGTTGCTGATGATAGTTGTTAGACCAAGAATCTGGAATAATGGAAAACTCTTTTTATTTTGAAAAATCAGAAAACTTTTAAACTGACACTTTATGTGCTATTTGTAAGGATATAAGCCTCCGAGTTCTTTAAAAAAGAAAAAGACAGGGTATAAGTCCAATAAATAAAATATTTCTCTCAGATACCCATATACTTCAGTGATACACATTTGTGGAACAAGGCTCTAATCTTGAAAAGTCTTGATACAGTCCCTAATTTGCAACTGATTTCATTAAGCCCAATGTGTATGTTTGATAAACCAGTAGAAAAATAATAAAACCATAATTCTGGGTTGTAGTAGGTGAGGTCATTGCTGATAAAGCAATGGTATTAGTCTTGAAATTGAAGTTTCTTATAAAATAGGTAATCATAGGTGGTATTGTTGTGATCAAGTGAAGAAAAGAAGCATTTGCATGGACAGAAAAAATGTTTTTATGTATTTTTATGTTGGTTTGATTAGATGGCCCAAGCTAACATACCAAAATAGATTGTAGCATAAATTGGCAAATTTGCATTGTCAATATAGGTTACATAAATTACTGCTGATTCAGCAGTGGGGGAACACAACATAGTCAAATCTAATTGGTTTATTTAAAGGAAATACCATTGTGCCTATTAGGAATTAATCATATTTGAATTCAGAGAGGAGAAGGTTTGATTTGCCTGTTGATGACAGTGGCTTGGAATTCTAAATTTCTGTATACTTGGGTTTATTCATTGCAGTTTTCTGAATATATAGGGCATAACAAAGTAGTAAATTACGGTATGAAAATATTAGAAATTTTTGCAAGTAATTATATTTTGCCACTTAGATTCATTTTGCATGTGATTTAAATAAATATATTGGTACTTCATGAACTATTATGAAAATATGTATGTTTTCAGTATAGTTGCTGCTAGTGTTATATAGCAGGCTTATTTGATTTATCCATATGACTATTATTAACCCTCCCCCCTTGGGTGATGAAGTCTTTTGGAAAACTTAAATAATTATAAATTTGAAGCTGATAAAATGTCAGCTCCTAATTTTAATATACCATTGTTTGGTTGTTGAACAAAAAGTGCTGTGGCGCTGTAAAGATAAGTTCTATTGCAGCTGTAGCATCTTGTGCCTGGCTCCTCAAATGCACAGAACAATATGGGCAGCTACAGTCCAGTCTATAAAAGTTTATATAGCAGTTTGTTCATGTGTGACAGGGAGGGAAGGAATCGTTGTCAAGAATCGTTGTCAAAAAAAAGTTGAAGTAAACTTTATAATCTACATGGTGTGGCAGACTTTTGCTTAGGTTCCAAAGAATTATCCAATTTCAGAGATTTTTTTTTTTTTTATTAAACAGTGGTTCGCTATGTCACATAGCTGAGGAAGCAAGTTTTCAAAAGCAGTTTATAGAAGGGAAATGGGGAAGTATAGAAACTTGTAGAATGCTGTAAATAGCTTTTTAGATTTTTGACTTGGTATTTTGATGTAGGCAATATTATAGGCAATTTCAGTAGCTTGTCTAGATTGTTGTGGGAGCTAACCAGATGACTCTGTTACTCCAAATATTTTATGTGTTGCCTGCAGTTCAATTCTAGGAGGAATTGAAAATACTGAGGAATGTAGAATAGATTAGATGTGAATGATATGGCATTATGTAACAGGTATTTTTATTAATAGAGCTTTATATAATAGCTGAATA